CAAAACTACAGTTCAGGCTCGAACATTACTCTAATAATTACTGTGGAACTACTCTAGAGGGTAGAGGGAAGCGCTACCAAGTACAGGACAGGAAGGACTGGACAGGCGTTAGAGACATTAAATCTGGACAGGGTAAGGTGCTACTCGAAGGCAAGGAAAATCAAGAACCTCATCTCTCTCTCTTCCCGACTCAGCATTTTGAGTCTTCTCGAAGAGGGCCACAGGAAATTTGTCATTTTGTGGCGCATGTCACAAATGTAAGTGCGGTCCATCTGGGTGATTAACCTTCCCTTTAGCACTCTAATTAGGTCTCGATCAAAGGGGGTAGGGGACTTGCAGTGGTCGATAAGAGCGACTCTGGACAAAAGAACGTGTTGCAGAGTCTTCCGCCTGCAGCTTCACAGATTCAACCCTGAAGGGCTCAAGGAGTCCTATAAGGTCCTCCAAAGTATCCTTCTCGATATGGTCGAGAAACCGCGACTCTTTTCGCGCCTCCAAAGTAGTAGAAAGCTAAAGAATAAATAACAGTTAGTCTCAAAAGATTTATATTCGTATCGCAGTGAAAACAAGTGAAAAAAAAAAACAATTGCAAAAACAAATTATCGTAAACTAACGAACGGATTAAAATAATAAAACTATGATTTGTTAAACTATCGTGAATTTAAAATCCAATGCAATTGAAGGGACTAAAACTAAACAGCGAGAGGTTGCTGACCGTATACTTTAGTCTCGTAAGAGAACGCAATCGTCTTAAAAATTACAAACCTGGTCATACACATTGTAGATGGATTGATACATGGCCAACGAGGAGTTCCACCGAACATCAAAATCTGGTTTTAGCGTGTTTCTCAGGGCGCTGTTCACATTCGAGTTCCTGATGTGGTGTACTAGTGTTCATTGTTGATGCAGAAACACATACTCCAAAGGCTGAATTTGGACCCGCCACTGTGCCTTTAACGCAGCAACCATGTTGCTGTCATTCTCAGTAGGGGCAGTAAGGGCACGAAGCTGGGGCCACAACGAGCCGGCAAGGTTAACACCTGAGTGCTTCGTCATTAGCAATTTAAGGGAGTGAAGCACTTTATGCAAGTCCTTAACTTTTGCCAGAAAACTGTCATCGACATCAAAATTTTCTCGCAATTTCTGGAGACGGTTCTTAATCTGCACAGAATTTTAACAAATTAACACACTATTAGCACCTAAAAACAAGTACTTCTGAGACTTTTTGAAATAAAATTACACTTACATTGTAAAATGTGTCTGTTTGGGTTATAGGAAATATTTTCGTAATGAATACCGTAAAAGCTACAAACTTATATCGTATCACACGAGGAAAATATACCCCCCCCCTCCCCTTTATGATACATTTTAATTAATGAACCCACAAAGTAACACTTGTACAGTACAGAACTGAAAAGAGCAGAAAATTTTATGTAAAACCGAAAATAAACATAGTTTGTGTTCTCTCGCCTCTTTAAATCTTTTGATAAAATCGGACAGCATTGGGGCTTCCAATGGCGGTGTTGCTCCCGCCCTAACGTTTTTGGTGATAGCAAACTTTCCTTGCCGGTAGAGTGCGATTTAGTCTGGTCAGCACTGACTTTACCCGCACAACAATTTCTCGGGCCTCTTCATTTAATTGTTCCAGCTCATATTTTTTCAAAGCCATAGTGGTTTTTAAAACAGTGTTTAGAACATGAGCAGTGCAATTAAGTCTGACGACATTTTTTAGTGCAGACACTACATTGGCCCCCCTGTCCGTCACAAACACTATTTTTTTGACTTCCTCTTCTGCTATTCCTAGCAAGGCAAATTGCATCACAATTTGTGACCAAATGTTCTCTCCTGTGGCAGAATCAGCATTGAAATGGACGGTGAACGCAGTGCGAGCCTCGGCCTTTCCCCCGACAGTCAAATGAACGATTACAGTGAGAAAATGCAGCTTGCGGTTCTCTTGCGTCCACATGTCCGTAGTCGCTGCACAGGTGTTGTTAGTGATCGCCTCTTGAACCCGAGGGACGAACTCCAATTTTATCTCACCCGCCATTTCTTTTATTTTTCTGCTGACAGTTGTGCGGCTTGGAGAAGCCGGCGCGCATCTAACTAACGGCCGGTGCGAGCGTCTCACTCGCACCTGTCGTTTTCGGAACCTTGCCGGTTCTTACCGGGACTGGCGGGCCAGCTTACCGGGACTGCGGACCGCCCGATGCTCACCTCTGCCCGCTAGCCGCCCGATGCGCTGTCTTTAACATCAACAGAAAGATTCGTACGACTGACTCTCTTGCGTACTGCGGTAGAGCGGTAATCCGGGACGACTTGTGCACATTGCTCGGTCTCGTTCAGGACCGTAGAAACGCCCTATCCTTGTTCTCTTCGTCCAGGTGCAGCAGCAGGCAGCGCAAGCGCACCCTGCGGCGAGCACACTATATTGCCTGCCGCGGTGCAAAAAGTTGCCTGGGAGGGGTACGGGAGTGTCCCCGCGCGCGGCGCGTTCTGTTGCCGCGCCCTCCCGCACAAATGTTGCCTTTCTGCTGGGGGCTGTCAAAATAAGATACGGTTTGGCCGACCGAACCGACCGTCGGCCTCGGAACGACCAGGACGACTGAAATATCGTGTTTGTGGGTTTCTTCGCACGCTGAGTCCAAATCTGGTAGTGCCGATGTCGTCCGGGCCCCCAGGGACGTCCCCGGGGACTTTCCCGAGCACGCCGATGACCCTCCCACGACAAATACGATTCGGCTCCAAACGTTGTTACACACGGGCTGGTGCATATTTCTTAAAAGTCGCCAAATATAATTATTATTAGTAGCAAATCGCCCATCATAGTTTATTATCCTGATCATTTCACTATTGTGGCATGGCACTTCCCTGGCGTTGCCGCCTGGAGCCACACAACGATGCATGGGACGGGAAGCATCCCCAAAGGATCACATCCTGGACAAGCGAGACGGGATTGCCTACCCCAGGAAAGAATCACATATCCCGCGACCACGATATGTCGGTGAGTATGCCGTAATTATTGCTCTCCCCCTTTGCCGTGTCGCGTCCCACCCCTCCCCTCCCCCACCGCGCATTTCCCGCGCCTTCATGGATGGAAACGTAAACAAACAGTGAAAATCGGTGTCACGATCGGCGTTTCTGCCAAATACCGATAATACCTACTCATATAATTATTGATCATAGGATTTTAACCAGAATTTTAGAGTGGACATCGCCGCTTTACGTTATTAATCGCAAGGTATAGTGCTTACTTGTTTCCGGCCCGGAATATTGAATTGTTCCATTCCGGTTATTGTTGTAGGAGGTTATGCTCCTCTGGCTCAATTTTTACACGCACAATTAAGTTGTAAGTTATTTTTTGAGGCCGAGTAAATGATGCCCGTGATGTAAATAACTTGGCTCACTGTCAGCTTTGTTGAAAAGGTGTTGAATGGGTAGACTCCTCCAATCCATGCAGTATGTTAAATACTGTTGTAGGTCCTTATGCAAATGGGTGAACCTGCCAGTGTTTTATCACATATCATATATTTTACTCTATTTTATTCTCATGGAACAGAGAACTTAATTACTTTCTGATTGGGGTGCAAACCGAGTGGTACTATTTGCGTAATCCCCCAAACAATCAATCAATGTGCGTTGCAGATAATTTGCAACTGCCCCTTCGTACTTAGTGTTTATTCCAGTGCCAAAATTCGTTTTTTGAAAGACCGTAGTCATTTAGAGACGCATGGGGGAGAGGCATTTAAAAGTATATTGTATGAGTAAATTATATGTAACTAATAGTTGATGAGCGCTAAAAGAACCGTTTAATATAATTGCAGGAACTCGGCCCAGAAATGTTCTTGACATGAGCAAGAGAAGTCTATGGAGTCATTTTACCCGAGGAATAGCTGAGTTGACATGAAAGTAACCGCCAACGCTGGTCCGATTTGTCTCCACTATGAGGAGCTTCCTTTCGTGTGCATCAAAGGGTGGTATTTGATATTTTTGTGGTGCCTTGGTTCTTTGTTGTCGATTTCCTCTGTCAAAATCCAGGCTGATTTGTTATCACTTAAAATGTCTTTTAAAAATCTTGGCAATTTGGAAAATTGCTGGAATTGGTTTGGATTGGTGGGGCAGACTCCCTTTTCACATGCTCTGTCTGAATATCATGGTGCCGACCCACTACAGCAGAGTTCTTAGCCAGTGCGCCTTAGGTAGCCTACCCGCCCTTAGTTAGAGACCAGCTCTTATAAAACTCAAGTTTCTGTGGACAGAAACAAAGGTAGTTTTGTGGTGCCTGGTTCACTCCTGTCGACTCGAATACTCCTCCATCGAAATCCGGACCCATCAATTTATAGCCTTTGTAAATTTTGCCAAAAATGAAAAAAATTGAAAATAGTTGGAAATGGTCGAAATGTCGAAATTTCGCGCCGCCGGTCCATTTCAAGTGAGTTGCGCCTGTTTTTCTTGGGCCGGTTCGCCTGCGAGGTAGGCAGCCCATTGTACGCTACCCGCCAGATTCAAAAGATCTCCTCTTAAAACTCAAGAGTGTCTGGACAGGGGTGGTTAATGGCGGAAACAAAAGTAGTTTTGTAGTTCCCTGGTTCACCCCTGTCGGTACGACTACTTCTCCGTCGAACAGCCTTTGTAAATTTTGCTAGAACTGAGAAATTTGAAAATCGCTGGAAATGGTTGGGATTGGTTTGACAGACAGCACCTTCTTACCAACTCTCCGTCGAAATTTCACTTCGCAGACCCATTTCAAGCGAGTTACGCCCGTTTTTCTTGTACCTGCTCGGCTGCTAGTCAGGCAGCCCGTTGTACGCTGCCCGCCAGATTCAAAAGACAATCCCTTAAAACTCAAGTGTCTCTGGACAGGGGTGGTTTCTGGCTGAACCAAATGTAGTTTTGTGGTCCCCTGGGCCACCTCTGTCGATTTGACTACTTTTCCGTCGAAATCCGGACACATCAATTTTCGCTAAAAAAACACAAAGGCTATAGCCTTTGTAAATTTGGCCAAAAATGAAAAAAAATAAAATTCGCTGGAAATGATTGGAATTGGTCTAGCAGAGTCGCCTTTGACCACCTCTGTCGAAATTGCGTGCTTCCTGCCTCTTTTGCATCCTGTTTCTTCGACTATAAAATTGCGTCTTTGGTTTGT